ATAAACATAAACATTAAAAGCGATAGAGACAAAGATAGAGAGGAAGAAAGTGATAGGGATAAAAAGGAAATACAACTGAAGAATGTGCGATGTTATATTGTGATGTGTTATGCTACATATGTTATGTTATTGAATCTAATGCTATTCTATGTTATGTTATGCTAAGTACTAAGCTAAACTCCCCTCCACTTAACCCATTCCAACAAATTTTATTTCAGCTCAACTCAACTCACATAAACTATCCTTAATTTTAGCGGTTGAATTTCAACCGCTGGGCGAACACTAGTAACTTATAATCGAGCCCCACCCCGGCCCCTACGTAGCGACGCCCATGAACAATACACAAAAATATTTAGGCTGTTTATTAATAATTTACTTTTTTGCTTCCTTGTGTCTCCAAAAATCACTGAATTGAATATCATGGTTTTCGGAATTAACATAAGTTTTAATTTAATTTATATTCAAATTATAATTATACCCGAGCGCACTTGTGCACAAGTATATACAATTTGTTCACATAACGGTTGTTTGTAACAGCCAAAACGAATCGAGATAGGCATAGACAAATGTATACATAAATGATCAGAATGAAAAGAGAAATCGATTAAGCGGTGACTGTCTGTCCGTCCGTCTGTGCACACGATAACTCGAGTAAAAAGTGAGATATCTTAACGAAACTTGGTACGGACAAAACCACGCCTACCTCCCATGTAACGGTAGTTTTCAGAAATACGAAAACTGCGATATTTTAGTAACTGCTGAAGATTATTCACTCAAAACTGATATTTAGAATCATTTTTAGACGAAAAATAGGAGTACAGTAATACCCGCTTAAGTACCTCACGAAAAATGTCAGCTTTTTGAGGTTTTTAGGCGGGTTGGGTACTTAAAAGAACCCGCTTAAGTACCTCGATGCGGGTACTATATTATACATTTTTGAAAAATGGGCGTAGGCACGCCCACATATAATTACATACAGCAATTTCTCCCAAACTTGGCACAGTTTTTGGCCTTGGTACAACATACCAAATGACTGAAAATATTTGAAATCTGACAATAACCACGCCCACGTTCCATATAACGTAATTTATAGAAATATGAAATTTTCGATAAATCAGTAAATATTACAGGCAATTTATTCAAAATTGATGCTTCCAACAATTCTTTACCAAGAAATGCAGTTATGGTAAAATTTTGGAAAATGGGCGTGGCACCGCCCACTTATGATCAGATATATGTACATATCTCGGTAACCGTCGTACCAATTTGTACCAAACTCGGTATGGTTATTGTGCTTTCCACATAAAAGTAAAAGTGTGAAAATTATTGAAATTGGACTAAATAACGGTCACTTTTCATATAACGGTAAATTTAAGAAATGCTTGAAACCTCTATATTTCGAAATTTAAGGACGCTAATTTACTCAAAATTTATACTAAAAACAACTCTTGAAAATAAGTAGCATTATTTAGAATTTTGGAAAATGAGCGTGATACCGCCCACATGTGACTATATAAGTTTATCTGTTGTTGTTGAAGTTGCTAAAAAATCCTGTAAATTTTTTATAAGTTTTTTAGCTGACGGTATTATGCACCTTTTCTATGTAAATTACTTTGTAAACTGCTTAACAACATTCATGTATGTTGTGTGCGTATCACTATTTTATCAAGCTTCGGTGCGAAGACCCATAATATCTACGATGCATGTAACCTGCCTATGTATCGGTGTATAGCAGGACAACGTACAAAATTTCATTCCAAACATAAATTATATAACCTCACAACTTTAATTTAAACATACATAATTATTTTGTACCAATTTTACTTATAATTAATAAATAAAATCTCTACGTAACAAAATTAAAAAGAAAACTCTTGTAACTTGAACTCCACATAGCACGTTGCAGTTATCGTCGAAAATTAACAAACTTTACACTCAAACTTCTAAATAAATGCGTCAGTTTTTATTGGACTCAAGTTTTTTGCCTCTTTGCTTTCAAACAACAACGAACATGCATAAAATGAGCCCACAATACACAAATTAGGTGCAATTTTCTTTTTTTTTAAGAACACGTCATTTTTACACAACAAAGAACAAAACAGAATTTAGAAGTCAGCGCAACATCTTATTGTCACGATTGCCGCATGTTAGAACAATCGTGTGATAAGTTTGGGGCAATTATTGTCACTATATTTCTTTTCACCAACTTGCGGCAATCAAAATTGTATAAAAAGAGGCAACCGTGTGACGGTACAGAATTTGATTGGGACAATTTTTTTATTGTGCTCCAATACAGCACAATAAAAAATTTTCCAGATTGGTGCATTTGCGGCAATCGTGTGATCTCAGCATAAGACGCTCCGCCGATCGAATTAGTCCCCATCGGCCTACACAAATCGGTTTGCACGAGCTCCAAAATGTCTTTTGTCAAAATGCTGCCACATTGCGCATAGGGTTTACTATGTATTTTACATACTGCACATGTGAAACATTCGATAGACTTCGGTATTTGCACATTTAAACCGTTCACCATATTTATACTTGAAAGCTTATGTAAATCTCGTGCAATTAAATGACCGAACCACCTATGCCAAGCGCTAACGTCATCACTGATTACACTATTTATGCTTTTGACTGTTTTACTTGCAATTAAGTCTGCGAAGTAAATACCATTTGTCAATGAAGCCGTTAAAACCGTCTCTTTATTATTGTTCATCATTATAGCATTTGATCCAGAAAAAGTAAATATATT